GAACAGATCGAGGAAAAATAGAGAAAGCCACGCTGCTCGAAATTGTCCGCCTTTTTTTTGTGTCCGATTGAAACAAAGAAATTAGTCCTCGTTAGGAGCGATCCGAATTTTCTTTCGATTCTGCTAACCGTGTTTATTCCACATAAACAAGCTACGATCGAAGGATCGAAGGATGGTGAGTAGCTATTATAGAAAAGACAGACAAAAAACAAGTACAGAAAATCAGAGATAAGTGAGAAAAAAAAAATAAGAGATTGCTGTGTATAACTGGTACGATCTTGATCGGCATCATGAGAAGCTGTAGAGAAAGTCTCTGCTCTGTTTCGCAGAGGAAGAACATAGCGCACACCTGCATGATTTTACGCGTCACACTAGTATGCACGCTAGACCCTACCCTGGAATTCTCTTTCTCGCTCTTCTTCCTGTCCTCGCCTCTCGTCGGTGGACCATTGATCGGCCGTTTTTCTAGATCGAGGAGAACACCAGGGCACTGGAGTATCTCGGCCACACGTGGGGCAGCCAGAGCAGCCTGGAGAGTCTCAGCACTCAGGGCTCGGCGGCTAGCGAGAGGAAACGCATCAGCAGCGAGAAATGGAAGCAGGGGGCGAGGAAGACGCTGCTTCAGTGGGTCACCAACGCTTTGCCCAAGTCAGTATATCTCGAAACATCGAGATGGACCTTTGATATCTATTATTTAGCAACATCATCGGAAATCCTAGGAAATCTGTGAAACGCTAAGTTTTGTAGTTCCATTTTATTATTTGCTCGAGGAAAGTAGCTGCAAAGGACGAAGTCTTTATTGACTTTTCTCTTCAACCCTCATTCGTGCGTTAAGCGAATGTGTCGTTTCGAAATATTCAGGAATTTTTCTGTTTTCAATAATGGCACTTGCACGTTTCAAAACTTACCTACTTTAAGTTGCTACTTTGTGAAATTGGTATCGGTTAATGAAGTTTAGAAGACGAGGAATGAAAGGAAGTTGGATTTCGTTATGACAATGTGAATTCATAGTAATTTGAACCGTAATCTTGATTTCCAGGGATGTCGGTATCCAGGTCCGCGACTTCGGCGAGAGCTGGCGAGACGGCAACGCCTTTTTGGCCATTATCGACGCGATCAAACAGAATTTGGTGAACATCGCGGCCATGAGAGAAGCTTCGAACAGAGCCCGCTTGGAGACGGCCTTCCAGGTGGCCGAAGTGGAGCTAGGCATCGCCAGACTCCTTGATCCAGAAGACGTCGATGTTCCCCAGCCCGACGAGAAATCCATCATGACGTACGTCGCCCAATTTCTACACAAGTATCCGGAACCAGGATCCACTGCCGCCGATTGTTTCGCGGCTGTGCAGCAGGAGTACGACGCATTGTTTAACTGGCTCAGCGAAAGAGTCAGGAACCTGGAACAATGGGATAGGACCAACTCTTTCCCGTTGAATTATGGAGTAAGTAATTTTGTACGGGAACAGTTTGCAATATTAATTAGTCGTCAATTAAATTCACTGACATCTTTATCATCTTATATGTTTCATCTATTTGTAAAAGTTTGCGAAGTTTCCAAGTTTCCAAGTTTTAAAGCTTCAAAGTTCCAAAGTCCCAAAGACCCAAAGTCCCAAAGTCCGAAAGTCCCAAAGTTCCAAAGTTCTAAAGCTTCAAAGCTACGAAGCTTCAAAGTTCCAAAGTTATACACTAAAAAATACTGAAGACACTTGCCAGTTGCATTCTCAACTCTAATCGACTCGATTAATTTCCGCTTGCAGGATTACCTTGCTTTGAAGACGGACGCTGACAAGCAGCTACTGGTGTACAATAAGTTGCAACGCCTCGTTGAAACGCCTAGTATGATCAGCATCACCAGAGACTCATGGAGACACATACAAACCCTATGGAACAATTTCGAAGTTCTTGTAAGCCCTTTTATCGATCTCGTAAGAAAAAAAAATTCTAAAAAATATCAAATAAAATCCACTTTCTGAGGGTGAAAAAATTGTTAAAAAATTGTTAAAAAATTCGCAGATGTTACACTGGCTTTGGAGCCTAGACTCAGCTCTTCCAGGCGACTTGGGCGACGCGGGCAGGTGGCTCGCCCGAGCAGAAGCCCTCTTGATCTCCGACAACGATATACCGGAAGAAATGACGGAGGAAACCGCCAACATAATATCCAATAAGCTGGAGGATCACAAGAAGTTCTTCCTCGATCTGCCAGCGATGACCGAGAAGTTCCAGACGGCTAGAAATTCTCAGCTGTCGTTGCACGTGCAGCCTCAACAGCTGAACAACATGGCGGCGCGTTTCGACAGCCTGCCGGACCGCGCCGCGAAGAGGAGGATTCGATTAAAGTTCCTGGAGCACAAGTGTTGCCTTGTCGCTTTCTTGTTCCTAGTTGAGACCAAGCTGAAGAGCTGGAGCGTCAAATACGGCACCGAGGAGAAGGTGCACCAGATGCTCGAGCAGTACCGGAACTTCGTGTCGCGGAATAGAATCTTCCAGGAGTTCCAGAAGGCCTACTTGGACATGCAACAGGTCGTCGAGGACTATAAACGCGAGGGTAATATTGGTGAGTATAAAATGATTATTTTATCCCATCATCTCTTCGCCTCAGCCTTCTTTCAAGGAGCCTGATCTAATTTAAACCTAACTTCGGCTCGAATCTCTTAACGACTTCATTGGAACATAACCGAGTCTGATCTAATTCGAGCTTCATTCAGATTAAATTGAAAATTGATCGACTCTCAAGAATAATTGACATTGATCCTAATTCAACCGAGATTGGATTTAGAGCCGATCTACCCACATAGATTTCCAGTTATTGAAATCGAACTCTAATTGCGATTCAGTTGAAACCAGCTGAGATCTACTTGAGACGTAATCGAAGTTAAGTCTGTTCTGACCGTGGCCAGATTTAAATCTGCTTTATGTAACGATTCCCTAGACCGAGAGGAAAGCCTAAGCATCGACCGGTTCATGAGAGAGACCAGCGACAAGTGGAAGAGCGTCTCCATGGACCTGCGCTGCGTGCAGAGCATGCTGGAAGAAGTCGTGGCCTACTGGCGTCGATGGAATATCCTGTCGGACGAATTTGAAGCTTGGGTGAACCGAGCGGAGCCAGCTTTGAACCTCCCCGAAGAAGAGAAGATGGAGTTCTTCCAGGACATCAGCGTTTGGAAGGACAAGCACCAACAGTTGTCGGACACGGTCACTTTTCTGATTGCTACCTCGGATGAGCCTGTAGCTCTGCATCTGAAGCAACGATACACGAACCTCACGTCGAGGTGGGAGTCTCTGTTCCAAGAAGCGAAACAGTACATGCACGCCGGCGATCTGATCCGGAACAGGAAGGATTACAGAGCCGGAATGGAGACCCTGCAGAGCTGGCTGAGGAACGTCGAGTCAGCCTTAGCATCCACCGACTTGACGACCACAGAAAAGATCAAAGCCTACGGCGAGAAGCTCCAGGTCTTCCACAACGAAGTAGAGGGTATCGAGGACCTCTTCAAGAGTATCAGCAAGAAGTTCCAGACCCTGATTCAAGATTTGTCTCGAGACGAGGTGGACAGAATGATGAACACGCTGAAGAAGGAGAAAGAAGCCTTGGTCAAGGTTCGAGCCTTGATCCCGATGCAGCTGCACCTGTACCACCAACTGCTGGTCCAGCAGGAGTCCCTGGAGGCTGGCCAGAAAGAGATAGCTGCCTGGCTAGACGAAGCAGAGAGGATGCTGACGAGTATAGACCTGTCAGGAGGCAGGGAGCAAATCCTGGCCCAGTTGGACCGCCACAAAGCCTTCTTCTCAAGAACTCTGTACTACAAGTCGATGCTGGAGTCCAAGAACAAAGTGTTCTCTAGCATCGTCAAGTCGGTAGACAGCCATGCCGACGTTGCTTCCGCCGAGGGAGGAAGAACATTGAGGGAATTGAACGACCGGTTCAACAGAGTGTCCCAGGCGGCTCAGGTCTGGGAGCAACGTCTGCAGGAAGCCGTCAGATGCTGGACCAAGTTCAAGGAATGCGAGAGACAGGTCTCCGAGTGGTTATCCGTCGCCGAGACCATGATCAACGACAAGCACACCGACAACAGACGGTCCATAGAGTATCACAAGAACTTCTTCAGCAACGTTAACGAGAAATGGATCCAGGACTTCGTGAATGCTGGCCAGGACTTGAAGAACATCCTGCCGATCGAACAACAAGCTCCAGTCGTGGAAGCCATCGAGGCCCTGCAGAGACGATGGAAGGAGGTGCTGACCTTTGCTCCCCTACATTTGATGAGACTCGAGTTTCGGCTAGACGAAGCCACGTTCTTGCACTACCTCAAGGAGATCGAGGTGGAATTGAACTCCGAACAGCAAGCTCTGATGAAGAACGACAATGTAGAGAGTATTCTTCAAAGGAACAGAGAGTTCTTCGTGAACCGTGGTACCGTGCTGGAAGTGGAGAAGTGTCTGGAGACCTTGAAGAAGATCAGCAACGCTTACAGCCAGCTGAAACCGAACGACAAGAGTCTGGCCGAAGCTGCACAGAACGCTGAGAGGCTCTGGGAAGATTCTGCTCAGAGAGTGGAGAGTCTGAGGGAGCAACTGAAACAAGTGCCTCAGCAGTGGGCTGCCTACAAGAAGAAGTACGTTGAATTCATTCAGTCTCTTGCGTGGTTCAGTCGGTGATTTCAGTTGTTTTTAATAATGTTTGACTGTTTGTTGTGTTTCGATCAGATTCGATGAAATGGTAAGATGGATGGACCACGTAGATAATAACCTGAGGACCATACTTCACGAGGTGAACACTTTGGAAGAGTTCGAGGCGGAGAAGACGATATTCCAGGTAACGGCTCGTTAGCGAATCGCTGAAGTCTTCTGTTGACTTATCGAGATTATACTCGAATGTAGTTTGAATTTCTCAGAAGGCTTTCGAAAGCTTGTAGAATTTCCATCATATTTTGTTCCCAATATAAAGAAGATAGCGTTTCGTTTAATGTCAATTGCATATTATTCTGTGCTTGCTTTCCTCGTGACGGATATAGATCCATCTAGTGACGGTAATTATAACTGTACACCATACACCCCACCGAATACAAGATAAATTAACCGTCAGCCCTCGTTCAGAGTGATTAATCAGAATTCTATCCATTGCCCAGAAAATCTGCCGAGAAGCGGACAGCAAACGCGAGGAGATGAAGTGGTTGGTGCAGACTCTGGACAGCCTGACCTCAAATCGGTCCGACCACGAGGCTCTATCGGAGCAGAACCGCCTGGAGCAGCTGATAACTCGTTACAAGAACCTGATACCGACGATAGAGATCACCATGACGAAAACGGACATCTACTCGAAGAGCTACACGTACAGAAAGGAAGTCCGCGAAGTGTGCACCCTGTTGCGCAAGGTCCGCGAGCAGTCGAAGGTCGACGTTGTCTCCGAAAGTCCGGAGACCTTGCAGAGCGCGGTGTCTCATCAAGAGAGCCGGCTGAGCCAGCTGGAGCAACAGAGGTCGAACATAGTCAGCATGCTTCAACGAGGCAAGGATCTCCTGAAGGATCAGCACGCTCCTCAGTTCGTGTCCTTGGAGGTGCAGCAGTTGGAGTCCAGCTGGAACGACACCTACGGCCAGAGCGTGGAGACCCTGAAGTCCCTGAAGAGCTCGCAGAAACTCTGGAACACTTATCTAGAACAGAAAGACGAGATCTTGAAGCTGATCGAGCAAGCTGAAGAGGAACTGCGGAAAATCGAGTCGGCGAGCTACTACGACGCTTCCCAAGTGTCCTCCGACCTCCAGTGCAAACAGGACTTCAGCTCGAGCTTGAGGAAGTCCGCCGAAGAGTTCCTGAAGAAGCTGCGCGAAACTTACGCCAACTTGACGGACATTGCTCCGTCAGAGAGGAAGGAGGTTCTGAGGAAAGAGATCACTCTGACGGAGAAGAGGGTGGAGACGACGCTGAAGACGGTCCAGGAGAAGGTTGTGTATCTTCAGGAGTACAGCACCAGGTGGAACAAGTTCCAGGCGAAGTTGAATGAATTGCAGCTCTGGACTCAGCAGAGTCCTCAGTCCATCGCCGACGCTGAGAATCTCTCTACTACGCCCGAGGAAGTGGTCTACAGGACTGAGAGGATTCAGAAGGAGATCCACGAGAAGAGTAAGACTCTGAAGTTCTTGGAGGAAGAATCGCAAAAGCTGGTGAAAGGTAATTCTTATAGTTATTGACATTCAAATGGCTGTTTCTGAACGATTTCTTTTCGAATTCATCGTGATACAACTTCTTTGTTTAGGTGACAGCGAAAGCGTCCCGGGCAAGCAACTCCGCAACGACATCATAAACCTTGAGAAGACCCTGGAGGCACTGAACAAGAGCATCGTGGTGCAGAAGCAGACTGCCATGCAGAACCTGGAGACCTGGAAGGAATACGAGAAAGGAATCCAAGGACTGAAGCCTTGGATGGAGGAGGCGGAATCGAAGGCAGCTACGATAGGCAGCAAACCAACGACCTTGGCCCAGGCAGCTCAGATGCTGGAGACCGCGAAAGCGTTTGAAGTCAGATGCCAGCAGCACTTCCCTCAGATCCAAGACCTGTCTTTGGTCAGCCAACGAATTTCAGGGAAAACATCAGCGTCGGATGAAGTGGACGCCGTTCATACACGTTGGAACGCTGTCCACGACATAGCAGTTCAAACGACAACGAAATTGGACAAGCTGGTCACCTCGTGGAACAGCTTTGAATCGGAGATCAAAGAGTTCAGTGAATGGCTACAGAAATCTGAGAAGTCTGCCCTCGTTGAGCCTAACACTCAGACTCCTGAGGTGTCAGTGCTGGAGAAGGAGTTAGCGAGATTGAAGGACTTTAACAAATCCATCTCTGACCACCAGGCACAATTAATATCCTTGACGCAGGTGTCTGATCACATCAGTCACGGTTTGTCCTTGGAAGGAGCCACCAACCTGAAGTCCAGAGTCTCGGACATCAAAACCAGAGTCAGCAAGCTTGCAGACACCGTTAGGCTCCAGATCAACAAGGTGTCCGACTCCCTGCTGGCTCGCCAGGAATTCCAGATGAAGATCACAGACTTCGAGAACTGGATGTCCAGGCTGAGATCGAACATCGCGGAGATTAGCGAGGCTACCGTGGACACTGTGGACACCAACCTACAGGCAGTGCACGCGTACATCCAAGAGCACTCTGAGAAGCAACCTAGTTTCGCCGCCATCTACGATGAAGTCAAGCAACTGTCGTCCAAGGGTTCGGTCATGGAAGCAGCAGCCCTCGACGAGACGTACACCAACTTGGCAAAGAAGTACAAGGCATTGGAAGACGACCTGAGGCAGAAGAAGAAAGGTTTAGAGAAGTGGATCGAGCTGTTGAGCTGGCTGAATGACGCCAATGCTCAGCTGAGTCACTGCAAGTACGAAGCAGAGGCTAGGAAACCGACTATTGCTGATTTGGAGAGATTCTCCTCGGAGTTGCAGATAATAAATGATAAGATAGAGGGCTGGAAGCAGCACGCGTTGCCTGACAGTGCCATCGGTGTTGAGATTCGCGACAAGCAGGGCAAACCTTTGTCCGCGTCGGGTTTACTGAACGATCTGGAGAACAAAGCGTTAGCGCTGAAGAACGAGATATCAGCTAAACGCGATAGACTGGAAAACCTAGGTGCCAGGTGGAACAACTTCAGAACCCTGCAGCAGAACATCACAGAGAAGATACTGAACACCCAGACAGCTCTTCAAGAAACTGTGTACAACGTAGACTCCTGCAAGCAATTGGCCCCAGCAGTGGACAAGATAGACCAGCTGATCGAAGAACACCAGAAGAGGGAGCAAGAGAAGGAGATTCTACATTTCGAGGGTAGCACGCTGATGAAGGAGGACCAGAGATCGACGACCAACATCCAGGTTGTTCTATCGTCTGTCGATGCTAACTGGGAGAAAGTCAACGAGCTGCTCAGAGAACAGAGGAAGAAATACGCTGACATGAACACTGATTGGAAGGTGTACGAAGAAGCTAGACAGAAGGTGAAGAAGTCTGTCGAAGAAGCGATCAACCTGTGCCAGTCTGTCAAAGGCATACCCTACGACATCACTCAAGCGAATATCACTTTGGAGAAACATAAGAAAGCTCTCGAAGTGTTGAAGAAAGGGAAACAGTTCCTCGAGAAGATGGACTCTAAGGCCCAACAGATAACGAAGGAAGCGTCCCTGATGCCTAGGTTCAATTCAGACCTGATAGAATCCGACTTGAACGAAGTTAGACAGCGCTACCAGGACACCTACAACGAGATCAGCGAGAAGTTGCAGGCGTGCGAAAGTCAAGTGATCATTTGGAAGCAGATCGAGGAGTCCAAGTCGGAGCTGACCAAATGGTTGACCAACACCAACGAAGCTCTAACCGTCGCCAGCGAGCGTCAGCTTGACGCTGACACTTGTCAAGCCAGACTCTCAAGGTACCGAGAAGAATTACCAGGCTACCAGCAACTCTATCAGAACATCGTCACCAAGATCGAGCAACTGATCAAGTTGAACAACGACGCGGACATGCCGACCTTGGACTCTCTGCACAAGTTGCTGGACGATCAGTTCAAACTGGTGAAGAGCTCGGCGGAGAAACTGGAGTCGCTGACGTCGACCATGAACGAGAGAGAGCGAACCATCAGACAGGAGATGAAGAGATGCGGCGACCAGATCTCCAAGATCCGGGAGGACATAATCAAATGCGACGATCTGACAGGGGAGAACAAGAAGATCCTCGGCAGGATCAACAAATGCCAGGAGCTGAAGACCGAGCTGGAACAGTGCGACTACGCTTTGTCGAAAGTCGAGGAAACCCTGACGAAGATGTCCACCGAATATCCGAGCATCTCTAGATCCAGCCTGCCCAAGGAGCTTCAGGCTCTTCAGCTTCGCAGGGACGGCGTTGCCAGCCACGCCAACAAGGTGATCGCCACCTTGGTAGCGTTCCTGACGAAACTCTACCACGAGAAGTTCAGTGCTCTCCAACGTATGGTGGTGACCCTGAAGGAGAAGGTTGCCTGGTGCGAACCCGAGCAGAGCAGCGACCGTTACAACCTCGAAGTGAAGATGGTGTCGTTGATGGACGTTGAGGCTGGCATCGCTGACTGCATCGCCAGGAAAGAGGATACGGACAATTCCTTGAAACTGTTATCTTCCGTCGAGAGTGCCGAAACAATGGCTGCGTTGAAGGCCGATCGCGACAGGGTCAGTGCTGACCTTGAATCCTTGAAGTCCAGCTACAGCAAGATCAAGAACGACTTGGAGAGGAACATCGCTCTATGGCAGCGATACGAGCTGACATCGGAGAACGTTTTATCGTGGCTTAAAGAGAACGAGAACAAGATCAGAGCCGAAGCCTCGGCGCTGTTGAACCTGGAAGACATCGAGCAGAAGATCGCCGAAATGAGCCAGGTGCAGAAGACGGTGATGGAATATGAAAAGGAGTTGAAGGAGCTGAGTTCTCTTGCGGATGACATCACGAAAGTTAGCTCCGAATCGAGAGTGAACCAGTACATAGGACACCTGAACACGCGCTACGAGTACGTGCTGAAATTCTTAGTCCAGCACCTGGACAGACTCAAGGAGCTGAAGGACAACAGAGACCAGTACACGGCGAACAAGAAGAAACTCGAGAAATGGATAAGCAAGGCTGAACAGACTTTGAGAGTGTTCGACGAGATCACCGGTCCTAAGCCGATCACGTTCTACCAATCTCGTCTGAAGGAGCTGAAGACCTTCGCCGAGCAGAGGGAAGTGGGCCAAGCCATCCTGAACCGAACCGCCGAAGCCGGAGAAGCGTTATTCGCCAGGATCACGCCTGACCAAAGAGAAATGATCAGAACCGAGCTGAGGAACTTCAGGAACCGCGTGGACGCCATGGCGGATCGCGCCAACGTGATCTACAAGAAGATCGAGAGCGACATGATGCACAGATCCTCTTTCGAGGACAAGTTCTCCCAAGTGAAGCAGTGGCTCGTGGATGCCCAGAACAAACTAGGAGAGAAGCAGGAGCTGCTGCCTACGCTTCAAGAGAAGAAATTAGCTCTCCACTTGTACAGAGCTGTCGCGCAGGATGTCAGTGTTCATAAGAATATCCTGCAGCAGCTTCAGGATCGTCTGAAGAACGCTCCCGACGACGATGCCAGTGAAATGTTGGGAAACGTGATCGAAGCTTACGAGAAGCTGTCCAACGAAGTGGAGGGAAGGATCAACATAGCCGAGAAGCACGTCTCGAATCACGAGGCCTACCTGCAGACCTTCGAGAAGACTCGTGACTGGATCAGTACGGTGATCAACGAAGGGACACCGATAATAGAGGACTTCTCGGTAGAGAGAGACACCGCGCAAAGCAAGATCGTCTCGATAGAGAACTTGCTGCAGCAGCAAACCGAAGGCGACAGAATCCTCTCCGATTGCAACCAGCAGCTGAACATTGTCCTGGAGCAGACCTCGATGCCGGGACACCCAGCGCTGCTGACGAACTTCGAGCAGCAGAAGAAGATGTGGGAGGACTTCCTGAAGAAGTGTGCGGCTGCCAGGGACAAGTTGAAGCAGCTGTTCGACCAGTGGTCGCAGTTCGAGAAGATCGTGGAGGGTCTGGAGGCCTGGACGAAGCAGATGGAGACTCAGCTCAAGGATCAGAGTCTGAAGAGCACCGAAGAGGCGAAGAGGGCTCACCTGCAGAAGCTCAAGTCCCTGGAGGAGAACATCATAGCCAAGGGAGCCGAGTTCAACGCGGCGATCGAGAAGAGCCAGAGCATAGAGGCTGAAGCGGACTTAGCTACCAGGGTGTCCAGGCTGACGACCAAGTACCAGGCTATCAAGAACCAAATAAAGGAGGCGGTGATGCGGTACGAGCAGTTCGTCAAGGAGCACAACACCTTCAACGTGAAGTACAACCAGCTGTTGCAGTGGATCCAGGACATCCAATCGGAACTGAAGAAGCACAGCGAGGTCGTGGGCGATTTGTCGGTGTTGCAGAGCAGGCAGAAGCTCATTCGAGACTTGGGCGACACGAGGACGAAGGAAAACGCGCGTTTCGAGTCGGTGATCGACCTCGGAGAGAAGCTTTACATCCACACCTCCCCGGACGGCAGGGAGATCATCAGGCAGCAACTGAGGAACCTGAGGTCGCTGTGGGATGGATTCTCCGAGGATCTACAGAACACCATGCAGAAGTTAGACCAGTGCCTGATGCAGTTCGCCGAATTCTCGTTGTCCCACGAGCAGCTGACCGCCTGGCTCAGGGACGTCGAACTGGCGATGCATCAGCACACAGAGCTGAAGTGCACTTTGGAAGAGAAGAGGGCACAGCTGCAGAACCACAAGATCATGCACCAGGAGATCATGTCCCATCAGACTCTGGTGGAGTCCGTTTGCGATAAGGCCCAACAGCTGGTCGACCAGACTAAGGACACCTCGTTGAACGTCTTCCTCCCATCCATTAAGCAACTGTTCCACAACATCGTCGCGAAGTCGAAGGCTCTACTGGAGAATCTGGCCGACTGCGTCGAGAAGCATAACAGGTTCAACCTGCAGGTGAAGAGCTTCTCCGACTGGCTGAACAGCGAGAGGGACAAGCTCGCCGAATGCAACGACGTCACCGGCGAACGTGTCGATATATCGAGAAGGTTGGCCACTTTGGCTAGCTTGAAGGACGACCAGATGCAAGGAGCCGAGCACCTTGGCAAGCTGAAGGAACTCAGCGACTCGGTGATCAAGAGGACCGCTCCGAAAGGATGGGACGCCATTAACAAGGAGATCACCGTGCTGGAGAGCAACCTTCGTCAGTACTTGGGCGAAATAGGTAATTATTCTTAGATGATTCTTAGATACGCTGTTAGTCGAGTAGTTTCTAAATCGGATACTTCATCGTTACTTCCCAGAATCCGTGGAAGACAAGCAGAAGGCGGCGCTACAGAAATGGCAAGACTTCGAGGACAAACTGGAGGCACACACGAAATGGTTCTGCGTGATGGAGGCCGCCTTCAGAGACCAACAGCTTCAGCCCACTCTGGCGGACAAGGAAGCTCGCCTGCGGGTGCTGAAGGAGAAACGCGACGCCATAATGAAAGAGGAGTCCAAGATCGACGAATTCGTGGACAAGTCTCACAGTTTGCTGCACGCTAGCGGCGCCGAGCGCATCAAGCCTCTGATCTCTCAGATCAGCAACAGGTGAGTGGTCGTTTCAGTGGCGCAGCTGTCTTTGGTTCAACGAGGCATCGATACGAGAAATTCCGATGAAATTCTTCAGGTACCAGCTGCTGCACGTGCTGAGCAAAGAAGTGGTCACCAGATGCCAGACCATAGTGGACGATCATCGTGCTTACGGGGAGAAGCTGAAGGCCTTCGATGGCTGGCTCACTCAGCTCGAGCAGAGTTTATCAGGTTTGAAGGAGGACGAGAAAGGTGGCAACCTGGACGAGAAGGTCTCGCGCTTGCAAATACTCTTGGCTGAGAAGGAGCAAGGCGAGCACCGACTGGGCAGCTTGATATCCTTCGGAGAGAGGATTCTCGCGGACACCTCTGCTCAAGGACGAGAACTTATTCGCCACGAGCTCAGACAGGCCAGAGAACGGTGGGACAAACTGATCGAAGGCATAGCCGAGCAGCAGAAGAAACAGGACGCCCAATCCTTACAACTGTCCAACTATCAGGAGACGCTTCAGCAGATCTTGGCCTGGCTGGACGCCATGGAGAGGTCTGTGAAGCAGGATTCATCGATCACCTGGTCGTCTCTGCAGGAGATCAAGTACAAGTTGCTGAAGAGCAAGGTAATTTAGTCGTCTAGTTTTCGCTTTGCTCGGATAATTACCCGACTGTATCTCTTCCAGGCGATGCATCAAGAGATCTTGGCCTACAAACGAATCATCGAAGGCGTCTCGGAGAAAGCTAACGCGCTGACCTACACGGTCCAAGCGCCGTCGGACGCCAAGCAAAAGGCTGCCTCGGTTTCCGGGAGATACGAGGACCTGGTCGACATGTCGCAGAAGAACATAGCGAACCTGGAGACTCTGCTGGACACTTTCCAACAATTCTACGACCTCCAGAAATCGTACCAGGACTACCAGAAGCAGCAGTGGGAGCAGTTAGCCAACTACAGCGACTACACGGGCAACAAGGCTGCTCTTCAGGCGCAACTAACTAAAATCATGGAGCTACAGGATGGTCAAAGGGAAGGAGAGTTGAAGTTGAATATCCTGAGTGAACACGTCGCGCAGAGTGCTCACAACCTGACGCCGAGGTCTTTGGAATCTATGGAGAGGGACCTGGCTACCTTGAGGTAACGAGATGATAGTTAATAAGAGATTAAAGTAGTGCTGTTATTTTAGAATACATTGGTTAAATGATCGTTAAATAATTTGCCACAGATTCGAGCACAAGAAGTTCGCTACAGCGGTGACCGACATCATTCGCTGCATCGAGGAAAGAATCCAGCAATGGAGCGAGTACGAGAACTCGTTGGAACGTCTGTTGGCCTGGTTGGCCGACGCGGAATCCTCCTTGAAGAACTATTCCCTGAAGAACACTCTCGACGAGAAGCAGGAACAGCTCGAGAAGTACCAGGTAACGCTTCTAATTGAACAGAGTAAAGGATTAAGGATCCATTTACTAAACAGTTCATTGTAACCATGGTAATTTTAACGGAGACACGCTGTGCGGTCAGTTCGATTTGTTCCGATCTTTTTAACGTCACACTGCGAGAAGACACTGTATACACGATGTTTTTGCACAAAGTATGATTTGTCGAGAAAGATTTTTCCTTTTTTTTCACTACGAAGAGAAAAAGATACGAGAGAAACAGGTGAAACTGCGAATGAAACTGGACACTGTATTTCACAAACTTCCATAGGCACTACAAAAAACCGCCCTGTCGTGGGACACGGAGGTGACGGAACTGGTGGCACTCGGGGACCACCTCGACCAAGTAAGGAGAAACAATGAAGACTCTTCCGGCGAGGCGTGTGAACGCTTTTCTACAGATCTCTCGTTACTGTGCCCCTTCTCTTCTTCTTTCTCTTCTTCCTCTTCTTCTTCTTCTCTTTCTTCTTCTTTTTCTTCTTCTATTTCTCTCTCTCTCTCTGTCTCTCTGTCTACGAATCATTTCTATGCGTTCTCTCTTCCAACTTTCTCTTCTTCCATTTTTTTTGTAACTATGTACTTCACGTTTTTTGCTCGACAATGATTTTTGTGGTTTTTCGTTTTTGAACACTGTACACGATGAACACGCGACACTCCACGAGATTATAACACCCGCGTAACACCCGAAGAAAAGACAGAAAACAGTAAAGACGATGTTCATATGTTGTTGCCAGTTGGTTTTCCTGTTTTTTTGTTCCTTTTCTTTGGTGGAAACATGAACGCGAACGGTTCGATCATTGTTACCACGGTGCATGCGATCGTGTAATTTTGAGCTCGCTTGATCGAAGAAGTGTGTTCCTGAGAGCCAGTCGCGGTGCGATGTCACGCGACGAGGTTCGCGACGATTCTCGATGAAGCATCGTGCTCCCGTCGTTTTAAAGTACTTTGCATATACGTACCAGTCGTTTTTGAGAGCATCATCTTGCACCACTTGAGTCATGGTCAGACAATCGCGAAAGGAGGCGTTCCGAGTGTTAAGGATTCGCTTTGTCCTGTAGATGTTGATCGTGAATCTGCGCCAGAACGAAGCGGAATTCGATAGGATGAGCGACGAGTCCTCCGAATTGATGCAGATCAGCGGCGAGACCAGGTTCTCGGCGAGCGTCCAGCAGATCACTTCGCGTTTCCAGTCTATCCAAGCTACCGCCAAGGTACAGTATCATATTCCATGTTGAATTTAGACATTCCTCAAAGGGGTTCCGTTTATCGATGAAAATTCTGAAAGATTATTTATCAAATTTAACCACTTGAACTCGGATAGTTCGCAGGCGCCGGTGATGGCGTGCAGAAACATACCCAGTGTTGACGGGATTAGTATTTAAGATGATTGTAAGACCTCTTCAGGATAGCGTAGTATCGCGCAAAATAGATGAAATACAGTTTAGTTTAATTCTAGTCATAGTCCACTGAAATAAAAATTCAAACCTGCTCGTTCTCGCCAAGACCTTCCAGTCCCAGAAATTCAATGAAACCAGTACTATCGTAAACGATACCCAACTGATAATTTATTCCATTCCGTATACCGAATAAATGTCTAATTCGCAATGCACCCAACATCACAGGAACTAGTGAAGAAATGCGAGCAAGCAGTGGGCGACCACGCGGCCTATCTAGAACGCTACAAGCAATGCTCCGAATGGCTGGCGAACGCAAGAACAGCCTACCAGTCCATCAAAGAAGACTTGAGCGGCACTCGCCAGGAACTGACCTCCAACGTGTCCACTCTGAAGGACCTCCTGTCGCGTCAGTCGGCTGCTACCCTCTTGATAAACAACACAGTGGAGTCCGGAGAGCGTCTGTACCCAACGACCGGCATGGAGGGCAGAGAGATCGTCCGCCAGCAGCTGCTGGACCTCCAGCAAGCCTTCGAGGAACTTTACGACGGCATCTCGTCGACCGAGCGGGAGCTGCAGTCGAAGATCTCGAGGTGGTCAGGATTCGACGAGTCGAACGAGGCGTTCGAGAACTGGCTGAGGACCATCGAGACTCAGCTGAACCCTGAGATCGAACTGAAGACAACGCTGGACGAGAAACGAGCCCAGCTGCAGATCTACCGCACTTTCCTGCACGACGTTCAGTCCCATCAGCAGGATCTGCTCGATCTCCGCGACAAGGCCGATAATCTTCCCGATTCGACGGACAAAGTGCACCAGACCCTGCGGAGACTGAACGAGAGGCACGCGGCGGTGCTGAAACGCGCTGCAGCGTTCGTCGAGAGATACGAAGGGATCGTCAGCGACCATCAGCAGTACAGCAAGGCTGTCCTGGACACTCACGAGTGGCTGGACGCGACTCACAACGCCGTCATGCTGTGGGGCGACACCGAGATCGAAAGAGTGTCGCTCCATTCGAACCTGGACCGTTTGAAGAACCTTCTGCAAAGTCTGCCGGAGGACAAGCCCAGGGTTCAACAAATCAGGAGCCTGGGCGAGAAGGTGATACCTGGCACCTTGGAGTCGGGGCAGATCAACATTCGCTCTCAGATCGATTCGTCCCAGCAGGAATGGGAGAGCCTGGTCACCGCTGTCACGTCGACTATAGAGTCCCTGGAGAACAAGCTTCAACAGTGGAACGAGTTCGAGACGTCTAAAGAGAGGTGTCTGGCTTGGATGCGGGAGACCGACACCAAGCTCCACGCGGTGGACCTGAAAGCGACTCTCCAAGAGAAGAAGGATCAGTTCGAGCTGCTGAGAACTCTTCAGGGCCAGGTCAGAGCGAAGGAACTGGAAATCGATGCGGTCACCGAGAAGGCTCAGCAGCTGCACAAGAACCTGACCTCCAGGACGACTCAGATGTCCGAGCTGAGCATCAAGTATCAGCAGATCTCCAACAAGGTGAAGGATCGCAATTCTCGTTGGCATCAGTACGTGACGACGCACCAGGAATTCGACAATCAAGTGGCAGAGTGCACGAGATGGTTGGACGACATCAGACAGAAGCTGGCGTACTGCTCCGACCTCGGGGCGTCCTCTCAGAAAGACCTGGAGAACAAGATGGTGATCGTGCAACAGCTGTTGCTTTACAAGGAGGACGGATTTGGTATCGTTCAGGACATCGTGGAGCTAGCCCAGGCTGTCCTGGCTAACACCGCGCCGACAGGGCACAAAGCCATCAACGACGCGGTCGGAAAGCTTCAGGAACAATGGAGCGCGTTAGCGTCGAAGATGCTGGAGACGAAGACCAACTTGGACGACTCTATCAACAAATGGGCTGGACTCCTAGAGCAGATCCAGTCTATGAACAAGACGGTGGACTACATGCAGTCCGCTCTGAACGACTTCTTGCCCTTCCAGACCACCATGTCTGAGAAGAGGTGTCAACTGGAACGTATAAAGGCCCTCGAAGAGAAGGTTCGTTGCGAGAACATCGAAGTGGACAGCTTGAAGATCAAGGTGGCCGAGATGATAGCCAGTGGACCTCAAGGTTTAGCTGCCTCCGAGGCTCAAAGTATCCTGAGCAGGTTCGACGCGTTGTTCGAGAAGATCAAATCGCTGCTCGCCGAGAGGGAGGAACAGTACAAGGATCACAGACTGTACAAGGAAGCTCACGACGACATCATCAACTGGCTGAGCAGAGCTCGCGAGAAGATCCCGTCTATGAAGCAAAGGCCTCTCAGCGATAAACTGGCGATAGAGAATGCTGTGGCTCCCTTGGAGAGCTTGCTGAACAAGAAGGCTCAAGGTGAACTGTTGGTGGAACATCTCCAGCACACTGGGAAGGTCGTCTGTGCCAGCACCAGTCCTCAGGGGCAGGAAATCATCAAGAACGAAGTGAAGGCTCTGACGCAGAGCTTCGAGGAGCTGTTCAGAGGTAAGTAATCGCCATCGGTACACTCGTGCATAGCGGTTATTCGGATAATTTCGAAAACTACGAACGAAATTCAATTTCCCAGAAATCAAGCAACAGAAGGACCAACTGGAGCAGACCGTCACCCAATGGCGCGACTACAAGGACGAGTACGAGCGTCTCAGCGACTGGTTACAGCAGTTCGACATCTTGATCAAGGCGCAGAAGAATTCCCTGCTGCCGAACGTCGCCGAGAAGGAGAAGCAGGTGCAAGAGGTCAAGGAGATCCTGGAGAACCTCCTGAAAGGTCAGGAACAGATCGACAGGTTCAACAAGACGGCGTCGAGCCTTCTGTCCTCTCACCTGGACACCTACATAAACAACCAACTGCGTCACCTGAACTCGAGATACCAGGTGCAAGTGAACTTAGCCAAGGACGTGTTGAACAAAGTGGAGACTAACTTGGCCCAGCACAAAGAGTACGAGGCTAACCTGGCGAAAACGCGCGCGTGGATCGAGAACGCGAAGCAGATCATCAGGAAGGGCACGGAAGCGGCTTCCACCAGCAGCAGGGAGGAGCTGCAGAACCGGCTGGACAATATTCAGGAGCTGCTCAGGAAGCGAGAGGAGGGTCAGAACCTGGTGCACCTGACGGTGAACTGCGGCGAGAAGGTGATGAGGAACACCAGGTCGGACGGCCGCGAGGAGATCAACGCGCAGCTGAAGGAGATCCAGAACGACTGGGAGAGGCTCGTCAAGAAGATCTCGACGACGAAAGTGCACCTGGAGACCAGCCTGCTTCAATGGGCCGATTACAGCTCCTCCTATTTGCAGCTGCAACAATGGATCAACGATCGCGAGGCCAAGTTGCAGCAAGTCTGCGAGCAGAAGGTGTCCAAGGCCAGGAAAGGCTTAGCCGGTCTCAGCTCGTTGGCCATTGGCGAACGAAAGGCCAACTTGCGGCAAACGAACAGCATCGTCCAAGACATCGTCGCCTTCGAGCCGATGATACAGTCGGTCACGACCAAGGCCGAGGACCTACGGCAAGCCACGCCGGCTACCGAGATCTCGATTAAGTACGAGACACTCAGCAAACAGGCGCAGGAGTTGTACGCTAAGCAGAAGGAGACTGTCGAGCTGCATCAAGCCTTCATCGACAGCGGCAACGAGTTCATCCAGTGGATCAGGGCGGCCAAGGAGAGGCTAGGCAAGTGTTCGGAGCCTACCGGCGATAAGGAGTCGCTGGCCAACAAGATTACACAGCTGAAGGTGCTGCAGAGTGAGCTACCGGACGGTCAGAAGAAGCTCGAGCATGCTTTGGAGCAGGGCAACGCCGCTTGTCAGATCGCGAACGAGGAGGACAAGGAGATTATCGAGGAGGAAGTGGCGTTGTTGCAGGAAGAGTACGACAGCTATGTGTAAGTATGGTTGAACACGCGTTTCTTTAATTTATCGATAGTTTGTTTGGTAGTTCTAGTGTCGATCATGAAATTTAATCTTCGATAGAAACCACGAGCATGTGTTTATTAAGATTTTAATTGTCATTTCTCAAAGAAGTCCGTGTACCCTTTTGCTAACTGTAAAGGAAGAAACCAGAAATGGCTGATTTCGAGCCATCCGGTAGTTCTAGCGTGAAGCGCGAGTGTGATTATCGCATTAACGTTTCACTGGCACGATTGTTTGAATCACAGGGACTCGCTGAACAACACTAAGAGCTTGCTAGAGATAGGAATAGTGAAGTGGACCGAGTACGAGGATCAATTCTCCGAAGCTACCGAGTGGCTCACGCAGACCGAGCAGCTGGTGCAATCGTTTAATAAGCTTCAAGACAGCCTGGAAGAGAAGAAGAATGTTCTTGAGCAATTCCAGATTCACCTGCAGACATTGTTCGACTGGCAGAAGGAGCTCGATCGTTTGAACATGAAAGCTCAGATGTTGCTGGAGACTTGCGCCGACACCAGAATCTCTAACGCCATTACCCAGCTGACAACGAAGTACAACGCTTTGCTGTCTCTGGCGAAGGAGATCATGAGACGACTGGAACTTCATTATCAGGCACGATTAATCTTCAATTTATCGCGTTCTCCGTTCGATATCGATCTTATTACAACCCCTTCTGCTATTAATGTTCAACAGAAATATAAATCGTAATAATCTCATTTAATTTCCCTTCTTCAGGAACATCAACAACACAACACTCTTTACCAAGAATGCCAGGACTGGATCGAGAGAACTCGAGACAAGCTTGGCGAGTGCAAGGAAATCCCTAGCACTCTCGCCGAGGTGAACAACAAGCTGCACACTTGCAAGGCGATCAGACAAACCTTGGAACAGGGTCAGAACAAGCTGAGGTACGCTCTCGAGTTGAAGGAGAAAGTGATCATGAACACGGAGCAAAACGGCGCGGCGAAGATCCAAGAGGACACCGAGAATCTGAAGACGGAGTTTGAAAGGTTGCTGGTTAACGTGGAGGACATCAGACAGAAATTGTCCGCGAGGGCAAGCGCTCTGGAGGAGTTGAACAAGATTCACAGGCTCACCACCGACTGGATAGAGGAGATCGAAGGGAAGATTCAACCCGGTGAAATGTACAAGAACGATCTCAGCGAGAAACGAGCCGTCCTGGAGAAGTATAAGACTGTTCAGAGGGACATCCAAGGTCACGGGGAGACTGTCGACCGATTGAAAGCTCGGCTCGCCGAGGACTCCAGCATCCCTGTGGGTCCATACCAGTCTACTATCGCTAAATACAACGAATTGAACAAGCTGATCTCTGAGAAGATACGAGTAAGTGGTTTCTCAATCTAGTTTCCATTATGCTCTAACGATATGCGAAGATTAACACTATAGTTGACTCGATTAAATGATGATTATTTGCAAACATTTCTATGTTACACGCAATACTACCTGATACGGTGACATTCGGCTAGGTCACAATTCAATAATAATAATGCAATTCGATCGAATGATCTAGTATTATACTTTTTTCATTTTCTGTATTTTGCTCTATGAAATCGCGCAGCATCCAACGTGTCAATGATGTATTCTACCCGAGCCATTTAATTAGCTGCTTAACGAATTAAAGACATATTTAGCAAAGGCAGCGTCGCGGGTGGTTTCATTCGCAATAATTCAATTTCCAGAACCTAGAAGAGCAGGTGAACGATCACGAGAAGTTCCAGCAGGCTCTGAACGAGGCGTCGGACTGGGTCCGTCACACGAAGCTAGAGCTACAGCAGCACTGCGACACCCACGGTGAAAAGGATCGAATCATCGAGAGGGAGAGCAAGGTCAACCAAATCGTCGCCTCCCTGCCTCGAGGAGAGGCTCTGATCTCGAAGGTGATCCAGCTGAGCGACGGCGTGATCGCCAGCACAGGCCCGGAGGGCCAGGAAACCATCAAGCAGGACGTGAAGCAGCTGCAAGCCAACTGGAAGTCCCTGCAAGCGCAGTGCCACGAGTCCCAGAAGACATTGTCCAACTGCATCTCCAGCTGGTCGCAGTTCACTGCTGCTCTGGACAGCATGAAGAGATGGATAGATCATTTCCAGAAGAAGGTCAACGACGAACAGTCGAAGGAGAACAAGACGCCCGAGGATCTGGTCCGGTGCAAGAGTCTCGTGGAAGAGGCTGTCCAGCAGAAACCAGTCCTCGAAGACTTGAACGACAAGTGCGAAGCTTTGCTGGAGATGAGCGCTTGCAGCTGGGCTCGCGACAAGACCGTGCAGCTGCAGTCCGCTTACACCTCGTTGCTGACCGACATGCAGGGACTGGTGTCGAGGGTGGAGAAGAACTTGTCGGACCACACGGAATTCCTGAAGGCGAAGAAGGAGATGGAGGATTGGCTGCGCATCGCTAAAGGCTCGGTGCAGGATTGCATGGGCGTTGGTGACGCCGAGTGGGCAAAAGATAAACTCGAGACTATTAAGGTAGCTGCTTCATTTTCATCGTGATGTCCTGTAAACAATAGATATTTCATATTTTCCTGTTATATAAGAATCATTTATATTATACGAATAGCAAACATTTCATATTTTACGTAACCCGTAACCTCTCTATTTTGTCGCACAGATCGTCGCTACGCGGATCACCGAGGGCCAACACCTCCTTTCAACCCTACAAACCGCCTTCACTAAAGCGATAGACACCGCAGTCCCAGAACAACAAGAGCAACTGAGATCAGACATGGCAGGACTGCGTTCCAGCTGGGAGCAGCTGAGCATAGACCTGAACACGGTCCAGGCGCAACTGAAATCCCTGTTGACTCGATGGGACGACCACGCCGAGGCTCACGAGAAGCTCAAGTCCTGGCTGGAGGAGACCCAGAAGAGCATCAAAGACCTGCCGGACACCAAGGGAGAATTCGGCGACATGAAGACGATGCTGGAGAGGTACAAGCACATCCAGGAGGAAGTCCGAGGCAAGAAGACCGAGCTGGACCACCTGATGGAGGAGGCTAAAGAGCTGTCGAAGCTCGCGAAGAAGAACACGCCTCTGGACCAGACGAAGGCGCTGCTGAAGCAGTGGCGTAGCTTGAGCGACCGCGTGGACGAGAGGAAGAAGATGATCGAGAACGAGATGCAGGAGTACAACGCGTACCACGCGGCTCTCCAGGAGACGGAGAAGTGGCTGCTGCAGATCTCCTTCCAGCTGATGGCCCACAACTCCCTCTACATCACCAACAAGGAGCAAACCGTGTCGCAGATCAAGCAACACGAGACTCTTCTCGGGGAGATCGAGAACTACACCAGCGTACTGGACGACCTGAAGGTGAAAGGCAACGGCCAGATCGGTCGCTACGTAGCGGTGAACCCGGAGATCAAGAACGTGATCGAGACTCAGCTGCAGAACGTCCAGGAGAGCTACAATTCCCTGTTGAACACTGCCCTGCAGATCAAGAAGCGGTTGGCCGAGTCGCTGGTGAAATTCCAGGAGTACGAGAACACCCTGGAGAGCGTCATGAGGAACTTGAACCAGTACGAGCTGGAGATCGCGCAGGAGACGGAGGCTCCGATGGACACTCTCGAACAGGCGAAGGAGAGGTTCGAGAACGCCAGAGCGTTGCACAACAAGCTGCAGAGCGAGAAGACGAGGCTGGCTTTGGCCGTCGAAGCCTGCGAAGCTGCGGTGGCTTGCGTGTCCAGGCCTGGCAGTCCTTTGGACGCTCCGCCCGTGCAGATCCCGGCGAGAGAGGTCGAGGTTAGGACCAAGCTGGAGGAACTCATCGATCAGGTAAGAATTCGTTGAACGCTGCTCGATGTAGATTTAGATAGATTACACGAATCACGGGAACCTTTTTAGATTCGATTCAGATAGGTTAGGAGCATTCGGATGTTTTCAATGATTTCACATAAGAATTCCACTCGAACAGGCTCAAGGACACTTGATGAACGTCACGAAGTCCCTGAACGAACTGGAGGAGCAGACCAGGCAGAAGAACGCTCTACGAGCCTGGATCAATCAGCAACGAGCTCTCTGCGCCGAATGGAAGTCCAGGCCGGCGAAGCTGCGATCCGAGGCGGCACACGCCGAGCTCCAAGCGATGAACGACCTGCTGGGGAACGTCGGTGAACGTCGAACTCACGCGATGACCGAGCTCTCGCTGAACGAAGACGATCAAGACATCGAGGAGAACCTGAACAAGCTGGAGACGGAGCTGACGGACGCCATCGCCGGGAAACAGGCAGCCCAAGAGCTGATCCAGAAGTATCGATCGCAAGTGCAAAACATTCAGTCCTGGCTGGATGCTCTGTCGAAGAAGGTCGACGTGATCGAGAAGGGCAACGGCCAGACGATCGCCCAGAAGATCTCGAACGTGAAGGAGATCACTGGCGAGTTCGAGTCCCAGGGACCCGGCAGGCTCAACGAGGTGAAAAGCCTCAGCGAGCAGGTGATGGACTCTGTGAGCAACCTGGACTCCCAGCAGATAGAGGAGCAGATCAAATCGGTGGAGAGACGGTACGCTGACATCGCTAAGAAGCTTCAGAGGAAGGCGCAGGTCTTGGACATGACCGCGCAAGGCATAGAGTCGACCAAGCAGGAAATAGATGAGAACAGGGACTGGATACAGCTGAAGAAGCAGCAGGCCACTCTGTCGGAGCCGGTCGGCTACGACAGCAAGCTGGCGGAGGAGAAGCTGCTCGCTTTGAAGGTACATACTGCGTTTTCTGCTGAACCCTCTAACTCGACAGCTTCCGACGATCAATTTTCATTCGAATTATTTACCTTCTTTATAATTCGTTTGAATTATTTATTTATATAGGATGCGACTGCGGTTCGCTATTTCGGTGACGGTCTCCTCAATTATAATATTCTCTTGACTCCAATAAATCTTCTAAAGAAAATATAAAAATGAAACTGAAACGAGTCATTAAGATCCTAAATATAACGTCGTTTATAATTTCTAGTAACAATACCTATAGAATCAGTTTCATCTTCATTCTATAAAATATATTGATTTATTTAAAATTGACATTGAAAATGAAAAATTCGAATGCAATGTTCCAGGCGATGTTGAAGGAAGCCGAGGGCAAGCAGATGGTGATCGACACGCTAGAGAAGCGGGTGGGCAACATGCAGAACGAGCTGGAAGCCAACGAACAGCAGCAACTGGAGAACGAGACGAAGGCTCTGCGAGGAGAGCAAGCAGAGCTCTGCAACATCTTGACAGAAGGGATCTCCAGCGCCACGGCCGCAGCCGACGCTCGCCGCAAGTTCGAGGCGGACCTGGAGCGGGCCAAAGCTTGGATCAAGTCGAAGAGCAACAACTTGAAGAAACTCAGCGGTTACCTGCCGCTGAAAGCCTCGAAGGTCGAGCAGGACATCGAGCAGCACGGAGAACTGGAGGCCGACATCGATTCCTTCAGCGAGAAGGATCTGAACGATATCTTGAAGCAAGGGAACAACTTGCTGAAGGAGTGCAGCGAAGAGGATCGGGCTAAGCTGGAAGCTATCTTGGAGGAGTTGAGCAAGGACTACGATGACTTGAAGAACGAAGCGCAGGAGAAGCAGGCGGCGCTGGCGGATTTGCTTCAGGGACGGAAAGCGTTCGAGAGCGAGATCGACAAGTGTCAGAGGTGGATCAACGAAGCTGAGGTTGCCACTTCTTCGGACCTGAGGACGTCTAGCATCGATATTCTGCGAGAGCAGCTGGCTAAGGTAATACTCTTGGTATCTTTCGAGTTCTTCTGCTTCTTCGATTTTGTTTCTTATGTAACTAGAATCTATCGTTTACCCGTTACTAGTGTTACTTCTTCGAATTTCACTTGGAATGAACAGATTTCTTGAATCCTCTGTCCCCTTTCTAGTACGATCGCCTAAGGAAGGAAGCGAAGGATTACTCGGACGACATCGAGAAGATTCTGCAGCAAGGGAAGTCGATCCTGCCCACGGTCAGCGACGCGGATAAGCTGGAACTCTCCGAGCAGCTGCAGAACATGAAGGAAGCCCACGGCAGAGTAGCTGGGATCATCAACGAACGAGCCCAGGCTCTCCAGAAGAACATCAACGAGGCCGAGGAGTCGTTGGCTCGCGTCGCCGACGCTGTGCAGTACATGACAGACGTCCAGAAGGAGCTTCACGAGCTGAACAAGCCTATCGGTTCCCGAGTCGAAGACGTGGAAGCCATGCTGAACGCTTACGAGAGGATCCTGAACGATCTCAAGGACAACAAGGCGAAACTCTGCGACCTGGGATCGGTGAACGTGGCGGACCTCCACGGTGTGCTCACTCAACAGGACGATCTGATAAAGGCCATCGAGTCTCAGATAGCGAAACTTCGGCAACTGCTGCTGCTAAGACAGCAGTTCATCGCTTTGATCACCGAGATCACCACCTTCATCGCCAAGTACACGGAAATCGTTCGGGACATCGAGAACTCTGGCCAGCCTATCGAGGAGAAGATCAAAAGGTGTGTTTCTCTCAGTCTTTTAAATCTATATTTCTCGATTTTCCAGTTGTTTCTAGGATAAGATTATACTTCTCTATATTTCTTTCTACAGGTACGACGATGCGATTCTGAAGATCCAAGAATGCGAAGCTACTCTGGCCAGCGCGACCGACAAAGGTCAGCAGATCGCAGCCGAAGGATCGTCGGTGGACAGGAACAACATAACGGAACAACTGCAATCGTTGAAGCAGCAGTTGCAGGGCCTGAGGAGAGCGGTGGAGACGCAGAGAGAGCAGCACGAGTTGGCCGCCGCGGAGCACAAGCGACTGGCGAAAGAGCTGGCCGAGATTCTTCATTGGTTGGAGGACAAAGAGAAGGAAGTGAAGTCGAGGCCTCTTTTGCAGAGAGACCCCAGCAGCGTGGAAGGGGAATTGAAGAAGCATAACGAGCTTTGCGAGGCCGTCAACGAGCATTTGGACAGGATCAAGAATCTGAAGAATTCTATACCCTACGAGGAAGGCATGCCTGGATCGTTGAAGGAGATGCTCAGCGAAGCTGTGTCGCTGCTATCGTCTCTTCCCAGGGAAATGGAGGAACGTGGTAATTACCTGGAGAGTAATATGAAGATGCGACAGGAATATGCCGCGCTCACCGAGAAACTTCAGGGCTGGGTCCGAGAGGCGGAGATTCGGCTGGAGAGTGGCAAGGACGGACTCGACTTTGAGAATATTCTTAGCGATCTGGAAGAGCACAAGGTTTGTAGATCATTGGATGGTGGAACTTTGATAGGTGGGATAATAGCTGGAAGTTTTGAATAATAGATGGAACAATAGGTAGAACTTTGGAATAATAGAGAGAATAACGTGTAGAACTTTAAACTAATGGATAATAAGTCGAACTTCATGGGACTAATTGACCTATAAATCATTTTCCAATGATAGATAGAATAATAGGTGAAAATTTCGAATAATGGATGGAATAATAAGTAGAACTTTCGAATAATAGATAGATCACAAGTAGAACTTTAAACTAATAGATAATAATCAGAGCATCAGCTTTGAAATCGAAATGTTCAAACTGCTTCAATATTTCCACATCTTCCCAAACCCTTAGAGTCTAATCAAGCTAATAAACAACTGTTCAATCTTTCCTTCAGATTTACTTCAGCAGTGAACCATCTATCCGCGAGTTAGTGTCTCAGCAGATCCAACAAGCGGCTGACAAGATCTGGCCGTCGTTGACCAACTCCGAGCAAGAAGAGCTGTCCGCCGAGCAACAGCAACACACTCAATTGCTAAAGAACACTCTAAACACCGCAAAGTCGCAACGCGCTAGACTGGAACAGGGCGCTGAGACCTGGAGAGACTACACGCAAACGTTGGAACGTGTACGAGCTGTTATCTTGAGGACCAGGTTCACCGATGAACCCGTCACTACGCTGGCTGGCTTGCAGTTCAACATTCAGAAGATCACGCATGCTCTAAACGACATACAGGTAAGCCGATAATCCTGATGAATTTTACCGTGAAATAAATTCAAATTAACTTAATTAAATCGGATGAATTTCATCTGTACAGAATCAGCAGTTCGAACTGGATCTCCTAAACGAACGGGGTCGAGAGGTCCTCGAGTTGGCGGACGCGAGCAACAAGAAAACGATAGAGTCCCAACTCTCGGAGGTCGGCGCCGAGTGGAAAGAACTGATTTCCGGTCTGGAAGGTCGCAGGGACGCACTGGAAGCTCTCGCGAAACACTGGGAGGAGCTGGAAGCGCAATGGTCGCTGATCGAGTCGAAACTCAACGCCACCGAAGAGAAGAGCAAGCTCGTGGACACGATAATCCGCTCGAAGCAGCATCTGCAAGACACCATGAAAGTTCTACGTGTGAGTATTCCGAATGATCGTACGAATTCTTCAAAGTTCACCTATAAACATTCATAAGAATGTCGTCTGCTCGAGTTCAATTCGAACGTTTACATTCGAACGAAAGAGTAAACCGATTTTTATCTGAATTTCGATCGAAAATGAATTTCCGAAGAAACTACCGGAGACTGAACCGTCTTCGGATTAATTAATTTCTTCGGTGATTTGCATTATTCCGAAATGCGGTGAGCTTTTAGAAAGATAGGAACACGCGAGTTACGAAAAGTCTGAGGAGACACGGATAAATGAATTTCTATGAAAGTGGAAAGAGTTCACGGATTTCATCGAGTGTCTTTACTGTTACAGGAATTAGTGGCAGAATCGGAGAAGCTGAAACCAATGATGGAAGAAGTGAGAGACCTGGCAGGACCTGTTCTCGCGTACCTCGCAGTCTTCACCGAAGCTCCGGCGCGCGTTCTGGAGAAGAAACTCGACAAATTGCAGGGTTCCGTCGAAGCGTGAGTGGGAAATGCATTTTTCTACGTTTTGTTGATGCGAACGCACCGCCAACGCCGCGACAGACACCCGACAGGTGTCACAGTTACCTGAAACTCGCTATCTTTATCGTGCACAAACCTTCTTTATTTCAACGGAGACTTTCTAGTCGTCTACAAGCTGCCTGTTTCTTTGATTTCAGTATTAATAGATTATTTTAGTAAACGATCACTTTGCATTCCAAGTATTCCAGCTTCGTATAAAGATGATTATGCGTCAGTCGCACGGCATACATTCCAATTTATTTTCGTTCGTGAATTTTGTTGCGAACAGTCGGCGAAGTATACCGATTCGTTTGACAGCCTATTTTCGTTACGTTCGATTATTACACCGGTTCAATTATAATTCCATGAAATCTGATTATTGCCGTCCGTAGAAGTTTGAGACTCGCAGTATTCCAGCTCGAATCTCGCGGAACTCCGTCGAGCAACGAATCATCATGCGGTGCGCTGTGTGCGATTTTCCACGCATGTGCATGTACGTGTTTCCGCTTCCGCATATTACCATCCCTCCCGAAGGGAGAGGTAATCGTCCGCTTCTCCCCGTCACCCTCTTACACATTCTGTTCCAGGTTCTCGTCGCATCGGACATAATCGATAATCATTACAATTTCTTACCGTGCCCCATTCTTTTCAGGATGCGTTCTGTTTGATCGTTATTTTCAGGCACGATCGCCCGCAGACCGCGAGTTGTTCCACGAACTCGCGGGACTCGAACGAAACTAGCTTCTCCACGCCGACGCATTCCACGATATCGAAAACAGCCAAGGAAACTTCGTTAATTTCCGACGGACGATTCGCGCGCGTGCTAAGCGGACGCTCGAAAAAGGCGAAGAACGCAAGCGACGGCGTTTATCAAGGGGAATCTACAATTAAAATCGAATTCCTCCCCGCAAACGAGATTCCGCCGAGCTTCACTGGTTCTATAAAGACGCGACTCGTTGGTTGACGCGAGAAATGCATAAAATTTCCAGTCGAATCGTCGCAGGCGGCGAAGAGCCGCTCGATCGGACGCGTCGTTTTGAAAGTTCAGTCATCTTACGCCCGCTGTTCCCTTTTTGTTCGTTCAGCCGGACGTTCGTATCGTTGGCCAATCAACTGGCGAGGATCCTCGTCCCGTTCGGACGCGAGGCGATCGTTGAAATTCGTTTAACCGTTGCGAAACGCGCGAGAAGGGGCCGAGGAACCGGGGAAGGAAAGGACAAGCGCGAGGTTTCGCGACAGGAGTAGATTCCTTATGGGTTACGACATGTATCGATTTAGCATGCGTTGCGTGGCGTATTACGGCTCCATCATACCCAAATTAGTCCCGTGACGTAATTCAGACCTTGTAAATAGTTGTGCACCATGCGCCGCGACACGCCGCGGCGGAATATTCATAATCGGAGTGAAATTTGAATAATCCGAGTTCGCGAGCGAGCGCACGCCCTTTGATTCGACGCCGCGTCGCGCGACAAGCTTCCCAGCTGTGTTTCGACGACGAACACACCTGGCATCCGCAACATTATTGCGATTTAGAATAATCTCGTTACGCGGCGGCGCGACTCCGTTCGAACAACGGAATTAGACCGCATTCAAGTACGAACTGCACAGAAATAGTTAGGCCTATAAATCGTCTGTCTTGATCCGGTGACTATGAGCTCAGAATACGCTGTAAATTTCCGCGAAACAGTGGAACAAGTAGCGATTTATTTTCTGCATCTCGACCGTTGGAATTGTTAACCCTTTACGCTCTATAAGCTCCATTAGAATTTATAGCATTAGAATTTATATTAAATATCTTAATAAACGAACCTCGAAGAAACTAAGGCCATTGCATTCGTTATGCGCGAATCTTGTCCTTGGAAGAAGAGAATCCAAGAAATGTTATAGAGCGATAAGGGTTAATATCGTTTCAATCGGAAAAATCATTATTCTCTCGATAAGGATCATGGGAAGTTGAAAGTAAAGTAGGAAACCGATGAAATATTCGTTGCTCGCGGTAGCGGTGATTTTATTAGATATAAATAATCTAAGTGTATCAACAATGTTGCACAACGCGAGGAATCCTTCGACCGAAGGAAAGATCATGCACCGATTCTGCTCGAATGAATCAACCTCTAATCATTCGGATCTCGCGATCCACGCGTGGCTCACGTTTCCGCGAGCTGTTTGTAAACAAGCGACGCGTATTGCACAACGTGCGTGCGTCTCGAATTATTTATAATCCCAGAGGGTCATTAATCGAACGACATTAGATAATCGGGTGTTCGCTGCATCCCCATCGATTCAATAATCGCGCGATAATTTCAACCGACCCGCTCAACGGTTCACCGTTACGATTACCGTCCGATGCTTAACAATGGTGATTACTGCGAAACCAATGATTATCCTCGTATTGCGCACGGTTATGCAATTATAAAGTTCCCTTCGTTCGTTCCAAACGAACTTTAACATTCCCATTACAAAGTACGTACGCCAGATTCGAAGATATCACGATAATTTCAACGTTCACACGCTGATCTTCCATCAGAGACTGAAATAACCTATCGCGAAACTATCAGGAACAGTCGGTCGTATTATCGTCTCTCTCGGGGAATGAAAAATATCTCAATAACTTCGGACGAATCCTCGCGATGAATGAATATATGAATGACTAACCACTATTATTAGACTCTGAATATCTTCTATAACCGCGCTCCGTTCATTAATTCACAAAAGCAGGTAGCAATTGTACGGTCGTCCGTAAGATAAAGGATCGTTAACCGAACACGGTCCGCGAGCCGTGAAATTCGTAAGAATCGAGATTCGAGTTCGGCTGAAAATTCAAATCGAAATTCAACCGAAACGTCCGTTCGAATCGTTGCCCTGCGCTTTGCGCGTCGATTACAAGCCCGGAATTGAACTAATAAAACAATCAATTACCATCCAGCCACGGTCCCACCGTCGAAGGACGCGAGCACGCCCACGGAACCATCCCCCGGAGCTATTCGGGGGTGCATTTCACCCCCGTTCCCGACGGCGGGCCACGAATCGCCGGTTCCGTGGGGTGTCGATCGAATTCGCCACTAAATATAGATTTGACGAAGAAAAGTGAGAGAAGCGCGGAGTTCGGCGGGCGCCGGGCACGTTGGCCCGCTTCTCAATTCCATGGCGTAATACACGTCCCGACACGACCCAGGCACAGTCACCACTCGGAACGCGGCGCGGCGCGGCGCGGCGTGGCGCACTGGAAATAAAGTATGACGACGAGCCGCGGCCGGCCCCGACGTCACTTTATCGCGAGAATAATCCGTGGAACGACCTTTAAGCCGAGCTGGCTGGCTAAACGCGCGCCGCGAGAGGAACAGTCGTGATAACACCTTGCGCTGCGCACCGTCATCCGAGGAGAACGGAAGTGACCAGTGAACTGCTCTCGAGAAACTTTCGATACGTTTTCACCGACGGACTCGTTCGCGACTTCGGTTTCCACGTTCGTTCCGCGTGCTCTCGAGAATCGTTTCTGTTATTCGTCTCTTCGATTGTGCCGATTCTTTCGATACGGAGCAAGGATTAAACCAAGTGCGTGTCCGCCGGATTCTGCGATTGGGCCGGAAACTTCGGGGCAACGTCGAGATCCATCCCGCGGCATGTCGATTGCCGATACTAGTACGTAACGATCGAATTGTTTACCGGCCTCTCCGGCTGTTTTTCCGTCTTTTCGCGCTATCCCTCCGCTCGTTTTATCCTGTTTATCGTGTTAGCCGGATTGCGGACTGTTATTGGCTTAAATATTATGACCGACCGGAGCTGGCCTCTGTCTCCCTCTCGCCTCTATCACTGATCGATACCGGAACGTCTTTCGGTGCACGTGTGCTCTGTCGGCGCAGCGTGCTCGTGTGTAACGCGCCGTTTGGAACAAGTTGCTGCGGATCGAGGCCGAATTCGTGCTGCGTCCCGTTTCCCTTTTTCGCCGCGGTCCAAACGGAATTTCCAATTTCTTTCGGACAATCGCGAACGGGCCGACACTTGACAACCGTAATTACCGCGGAACCAATGATTATCGTCGGATTGCGCAGGGTTATGCGATTGTAGAGTTACCTTCGCTCGTTTCGAACGAACTTTGACATTCCCATTACGAAGTGTCTGTATCGGTTCAAAAGGTACCACGATCATTTCAACGTTCGCACGCTGATCTTCCATCGGAGACTAAAATAACCCATCACGAAACTCTCGGAAACGGTCGAACGGTCACAGAATTTCGAATTTCTTTGAGAATCTCAACTGGTGATCCTCTTTGACCTCTTGCAGTGCAAATCAAGTCGGAGATTTGGCAGAGCCTCGCGCCAGGATTTTACTTTTTAATTATTTTACGCTGTGTAGACTGATTTTGATTATTGATCATTTTGCGTAGAGTGGTACGGTTCGACGTAACGTGGTATGTGTATGGAATGTCGAGAAGAGTCTCGGGTTTTCGAATGTAGAAAATGTTGTGCTACTGCAGGATGGTATCGCGTTTACAAATTCAAATGAATATTCGGTTTGCGGATATTTTAAGGTAGTCACGCGAGCTTGCGTTGTTTTATTCGGGGGCAGGCGACTTGCAATCGAGTCTTCCGGTTTTGATTAGTGGAAGGTAGACATTTTTAAAATAGCCCGTTAATCGGGATAGATTTTTTTATTCCGTTTTGAATAATTTTGTGATATAAATGACGGAAATGAATACTTCATTCCGCGGTGCAATGTACGGTTTTAGGTAAAATGGAATCGATTTTCGTCAGTGGAACGTAAATTTAATTGCTGAATGATTTAATTGCTCGCACAACAGGAGATCAATACGTAGTTTCCGTATTTTCTATTATTCGAGTATTCGGTATATAATTTGACAGAATCCGCAGGTTTCGTATACTTTAAACGATGTTCCTCTGCAAAGGGTTAATTGTTTCCATGGCGCATTAATTGGAGATTCTATATATTATGCTATTAGACAACGGGACGTCGGGTTT